TAGTTCTTGTTTCTGGCTGAACAAGCTCGTCCATAGTCAAATTGTTAATATAAGTGACGCAGTTGTTATTCTCCATTTCCAAAGCGACGGGGTTGATCTTATCTTCGTTTAATAAGTGTTCCCCAAAGCATAACATCTTAAAAAAGGCTTTCATAGTGTAGAGTAATAAGTCATATTTCGGGTCGGTGTTCATTACAATGACTTTCGACAAGATGAAAACAAGTCCCGGCACATTGATGAATGCCTCCAAATAATTATCATTGATTTTTGTGATCATGTTAATGATGATCCATGCAGTGTTTGTGATGATCTCATCATCTGCGGATACCATTCCATAATTCACCGCTTCGGATATAACGCCCGATTGATACGCAACATCCGCCAAGTTGCAGACGTCGCACATCACCATATTCGAAAGACTATAGAGGACTCCACACACCACGTCCCTCTTTCGCGAGTCGATGAGTTCTTCAAAGACATTGAATATCCCACACTTGACTAACTCCACGATAATGTGGTCCGAAGTATTTGACATCTTTGAAATGGCCACAAGCGCATTGATCACAACGTCGTCGTCGACGTTTTTGAGCGACGCGTAGACCTTTTTAAGTAATTCCCCCAGCAAATTATTGAAGTTTGGTGTTTGTGTAATGAAGTTTGAGAGTGCGATGCAAGCAGAGTTAATGACATTATACAATTGCGTCATACAGAGTGTTTGGAGAATATTAGCCATCAGCGACACCTCTTCATACGGCAATGATGGTGTCCCTTGAAAGAACGTTCCAATCAGAAATGCGGTTGCGTCGTAAATCTTGTCGTTTTGTATTGTTTTGAAGTCGATGCCCAATAACAAAGCTTTCGTGTGTTGATATACAAAGTTTCGCGATTCAGAAGTGTCGACCGCGATGTTCCCGTACAACAAGAAGATGTCGACAATATACCTTTTGTCTTGTGCGAGCATTATAGTGTTGGTGAATAAATCCTCGTTGATCAAATTCAATGATAGAGAAGACTTTCGAATAGAAATCCCATTCAAGAGGGACAAGACTCGTGTGATCGCTTGTTGTCCAAGTTGAGTTGACACACCAAGTAGTTTAATTAATAGAATATCCATCGATCGGTCAACTATCAACTCAAAGAAACTCTCCGGTGTCATGCGAGTCTTGTGTTGGAGTGTTGCGCGGTAAATCGTCATCAATATTTTTATCCCCATCTCTACCGTTTGCACTTCGGTGGACTCTAATAGCCCTTTTGCATTCACTACATCACTCTCACATAAGGACTCTTTAACTGCTATCGCGGTGTATGTCGAATCACTCGATGTTTCAATAGCAGGCCGATTCTCTTTCATCGCCTTCTCTCGCCGCGCGCTTCGAAGAATACTGGCACTCTTTTGAAACCTCGCACAAACACTGGAAAGTGATGTGTCTTGGACGCGATACATGGTTGCGTTTTTATAGTACAACTATTATTAAAAATAATATATTTATTTTATTATAAGTTATAGTAGTATTAACTATTTTTTTTATTTAACAGTGTTTTTTAAAAAGTTTATTTTTTAATAGTTCGAATTATAGCTTTTTTAATCTAATTTATTATTATTATTTATTACAATATATAAATTAATAATAAAATTATATTTTTATAATAAAAAAATTAGAAATGGTATTCAAATCAATACAAGAGTGATTTGAGTTATTCTTTTGTAATTTATTTTAAAAAGTTTCGAACTCTTTATTTTTATAAGAGTGTGATTTATAACATGAATAATAAACTATTAAAAATCAAAAATTGTGCTCTTATTAAAATTATATGGTGATCATGGTCACACTTAAGTCAAGAAAAAATGATAACCAAACATTTGTAAAAAAATGCAAATAAAAAACCAATCGAAAGCGAGAAAACAAAACCCTCGAGGGTTTTTACTGCGAAAAAATCGACGAAGAATCTCAGAAAAGAAAAAGTGAGGGAAAAACTTCAAGAAAAACTCAGGCATTCTAAAAAGACAATTAGGAGTCAACAAACACAAAGTTACCCGTCCCACTTTATTTCGGACTTGAAAAACATCAAAAAAATGCAAACAAGCCGATAAAAAGTTCATTGATTTTGTAAATAAGAAGAGTATTTTAACTTTGTTTTTAACGCACGGAACCCGAAGCAACGTGTCTTGAGGAAAAAAGGTTACACAAGTCAAGGCGTATACCGAAGACTCTATCTTTGCCGTGCTTTGATTTTTTCAGTGCAGAAATTGTGAACTTGAAAATTTGAAATCAAACAGATGGAGACGTATTTTGACCGAAATGGTATTTCATTAGTATCACGCCTCTCTCCGCAATGTTTACTCATTGCAAACTCTCCTCCCTATGTTGCCCAAAGTCCTCTGAGTGCAACAACAGACGTTTTGTGTGATTCACTCGATCGGAGTTTTGAACAACGAAAACACACAAAGTCCCACATAGAAAAGAAGCCAAGACCTTCAAAAAAGTCGATGAAACCTCTGCAACTCACAAAATCAAATCTCGATACCTACAACTTCTCAGGAGTAACAAGAGCAATGTTAAATCGAAGAATACTGGACTGGATTAATCACGTCGACAACGAAGCCACATTCCCTCACCCTTCACTCTCTATGTAAATTAGTGTTTGTATCACTGGTTCTTTTATCATACTTTTTATTATAAAAAATGGTACATTTTTTACCGGTAACTATTGTATTGTACTAATTATTATTAGGTTCTGATAGTAAAATGTATAGTAATAAGTACTTGAATAAAAGACACATGAATTACACGTCAGTTCGAGGACGTCGAAACAAGAGAACGTTGGGCTCAGGCTTGAACCAGTCGTAATGGATCCACCCAAGAGACTGTTGGACACCTAATTTCCTCCACTCGTCTTCCGTCATTAGGCGGTCCTTTGGGACTTTCTTTGCAATGTCGTCAGGAAGAATCACATGTCTGCCTGTTACTTCTTTATATAGTTTCAATTTAATTAAAAATGGTAATACAATCATGTATTATTATATATAATTTGGACTAACAAATATAATAATCCATTATAAAAAGAGATATTAGAATAATAGTTTCATATATTATCAACTCTAATACGTAATTATAGTTGGATAAATAGTATTTGTATAATAAAGAGAATAAAAGTGATAAGAATGGAACGAGTTTGATTTTAGTCAAGACGCGGAAAGTGAAAACGTCGAATATCGACGAAAAGGTTATTAAAAAGATTTACAAAACGAAAACACACCTATACTCAAACTGTGGATCTTTGTACCGGTCCGAATAGTATATGTCCTTGACTGACATAGTCCCTTTGTTTCGTAAGTTCTTTTTAAACTCAACGACACGTGGAATACCTGTTCTATTTTAATAATCTGCTGTCTTCTATTTTAGGACGTCCCGATTATTTCCATTAAGAATCTGTTGGTCTTATTAGTTTTATTCTAATTTAAAAATAGTTTGTTTATAATTATTGAATAGTGATGACAATTCAAAATTTATAATTTACTTTTTTTTTATTATAGTTTTTTATCTATCAAAAAATGTTCAAAGGTATTTATCAAAAATAAATTATTTAATAATTTAAGTATAACTCTTAAACTATTCAAGTCTCTGTTATGTTTTTTAAGTATGTTTGTTTTTTTGGTATTTAAACTAATAGTAACGGGAAATATTTTATTAAAAAGATGATTTAACTGTCAATTTGTACAATTATAATTTTGTAAATTTGTTTAGTTAATCAAATTAAACATATACTATTACTAAATGTATATTACTTATTATTCATTTAATTATTGTTTTTTTATGGAACTAAACTTTAATAAAACGACATTTAATCCAATTGTTAACTATTGTTTCTTAAACAATATCAGAATTTACGATTATATTTAGTAAAATTTACCATTAATATAGTAAACGCTTAATAGTATAAAACCAATAAGAATAGTAACTGTAAATAAATATATCAATTTTATTATATATGAATAGAATATGAGGTGCCTCGTAGAAACGAAAAACATGAGTCTTTAGTTCGATTAAGCACTTGATATCTCCAACCATTATCACTCCCACCATGAAGTGTTTGCGTTTTGTGGTTGAGTGTATGATTTTAAAGAACCCTATGTCCTTTTATATCAAAAATTATAGTAAAATTATTATAAAATATAATTACTTTTGTTTTTATTATTGAAATAATTTATTTTATAATTAATATTAATTAATATTTCTTTTTTTTTCAATTTTAACAAACTATTTAAAAAAAATTTTTTCGTCAAAAATTTAAATTTTTTTCTCAACAAATAAAAATATCTAAAAAATCTTTGAATAAAAGTTTGGAACGAACTGATAAAAAGAGTAGTTGAGATTGTGGATGGAACGAAAAAGTTTTGGGAAAACACGAGACAACACGAGCAGGCGGACGTCAAACATAAACAAATGCATCAAAATATATCACACAATCCCGGTTTATGAGGGGAAAAGAACCGTGTATTATTGTCCATTTTGTTATAGGTGTTTTTTGATTGACGCAAATAAAACGCATTTTTTGTATTGTCCCAAATTTTCAGTTCAAAAAAATGAGGAGTTTGAGATGAGTTTTGCAGAAAAAAGAAAAATTTTTTTACAACAGGCAACCGCGGCTGTCAGAGTATATAGAACAGAGGAAAAACACACAAGACCACCAGGGCTCCGCCCCAAAAAAAAGTCGACAAAAAAGGAGATCGCAAATCAAGTTCAACTGCGGCGGAAAGAAAGCACAGAAGAGGCCGGAAATTTGGTGGTACACCAGACCGTGCAAGAGGACTCACAAGGAATGAGGCACCTGGTACAACCACCTGAAATCACAACGGTCACACAAATGCAACAAATGCCGTTGGTTGACCCAAACACATATTACACAAATGAAGGTGTTGTGAGATTTGTAAGAGAATTGGTTGACCAGAAAATCACCAGCGGTGTTGAGACCGCAGAGAGAATCATTACCTTCTTGGGACAACACTTAGATATCAAAACAAAAGGATTTTGCTTTTCTCTCTTTCTCTCGTTTGTCATGGAGCAGGCAAACGTCCAACAACAACACGCAGCTGCTTTCACAAAAATACTGGAAACCTTCGCGTCGCTGTATCTATCGCCACAAGAACGAGAAGAAATTCTAGGAGCAACTAGTCTCAGAAATCCTGATGTGTTTCATTCAAATTTGTTATATTTTTTTCTTATACGTTATAAACTAAAACTTTATAATTGATAACTTATTAGTAAAATATTTCATTTGATAGTGTAAAATTTACACTATCAGCAAGAAAACATTTTTTAAACAATTCAACTATAATTCAGTTTTAATTATTTTTTAATACTGTGTTGTCTTAGTTTTATATAGTTTTAAATTATGAACCAATTATTATATTATTTCCAAACTATATAAATAAAACTTAAATAACAACAAGTAAAAAATAATTAAATAAATAATATTTTTTATTAGAAAAACACAGCCACAAAACATTAAATTTTATGGTTTATTAATAGTAAATATTAGTATCACAGCAAGGAACACTTATAGAGTGAACCGGTACAAATTGACACTACATTCTCCCAAATATTAAACAAATAGATATTGATCTTTTTGTTTTGGTTCTTTGGCGTTCATTTATTTTTTTGTTTGATATTAGTTCTTTTCGAACCCTTTAAATATCAAAAGGGTTTTTCTAAGGGTTTAATTATAATGGGTTAACTAGTTCAAATACTAATAATATTATTTAAAAAATGTATAATAATATTTCTAATTTAATTGTTATTTTGATATAGTAAATTGTATTTTGTACTATAGTCGGGTGATAAAGGGGGTTAATTTGGGACAGAAGTAGTTAATTTGAATAAAAAACTATAAAATATAATTTCTTTAACCATAAAGGTATTAGAAGGGTTTTTTCAATTAACTACTTTGAAGATAATAAAAGAAAACCATAACTTTCTATTTTTGATATTATTCAATCTTTGAAAACAATGGAAGAAGAAGAGAAAGGAACCCTCGATGAAACAACCACAGGCAATCAACATAAAAAAGCAATTCAAATACTAGAAACCAGTTTAAAAACTGTATTTCAATATATATTCACGATGTATATAATTAAAATGCCAGAGTTTAATGAATTAATAACAATGTCAATCTTTTAAAGTGTCACAGAATCACTGAAATACATCATTTGTTGAAATCTTTCAATCTTTCGTTGTTGAACCATTCCCATTGAGAAAGGAAAAGAAAAAGACCATTTTAACACCAAAACAATTGGAGTTGAAGAAGAGCAGAAAAGAAATGAAACAAAGGAAAAAACAAAGGAAAAATTCTTTAACAAAACAAGTTTCAGACAAACCATAAAAAGTGCTGCGTTTTAGACTTCCACATTTCTCTAAGTGAACAAATTGAGGTGTTTTTGTTTATTTTTGAAATAGAAATTTATTATTATTCAATTTATAATCATTTAAAATAAAAAACTATAATTTAAATTATTATTTTAATTTTATGTTTATTTTGATTTTTAAATAGATTTTTTAAAAATTATAGTTTCAAAATTATATTTATCAAAATTAACTACCTTTGTCCCTTTTTAATGCTATTTATCCCCCGACTATATATTTTTATTGTTTTTTATCACAAATTATAATAATAATTATTATAAATATAATTACTAAAATTATAAATTATTAAATCAGTTAAAATAATACTTTAACAAAGTTTTCCAAAAAATAAAAAAAATAAAAATTTGTAAAACAAAAAAATCACTTAGGAAAGAGTGATGAACGGATTTTGTTAACAAACAAATGAATTTCATCATTGCTGTAATTGTCCATTTCATAGAGAAGAGCATTGATGTACAAACTTAGTCTTTTGTTGTTTTTGTCACATGAAACAATAAAATTTTGCAGACTTTCAGAATTCACAATTTCCTCAATGGACTTTTTGACATACTCAATGCTTTTAGTCTGACTTGCGACAAATTTATTTGCATATTTTTCACCTTCATTTTCAAAAGAAAACGCAAGTAAACTCTTTGAATAATCGCCATTTAAAGGGAAGAACGGATCTATTTCGCTTGATACGTCTTTGCCTTTTTCAAAGAGCTTTTCCATCAACGAAACGTACAAAATTTCAAAGTCAACATTGTTATGAGGAACAAGAGAAGTAAGTTCTTGGATGTCAGAAACTCCACTCGCAAAGAAATGGATAAAATATTTACGAGCTATTTCAGTGTTTGTGAGGTTGGCAGCGATGATGTCTTGTCTTATAATTTGCATTAATGTAACAATAAAACCTATTTCGTTTTTTTCATTCACATTTTTGTCGTTTTCTGAAATTAAAATCCCAAAATAGAATTCCATTGTTTTCACAACAAAATCGCCACCGACATATTGCGCCAAAAGCTGCACCAACAATAAATCACTTTGTATAAATTCAAAATGATTGGTGGACGTGTACAAATTATAATTTGAAAGGAAGTTCGCTCCAGTTTGCATCCAGAGTCCAGATTCATACTGATTTCTAAAGGCAAGATTTAACAACACACTTTCAAGAACAATCTCACCATCTTCTTTGGATATTTCAAATATCTCGTGCCGTGCAAGGCTTTTCACAAAGAAAGAGTAAAAAACCAAAAGTGGTGACAAAGTTGAAATCTTTTGGTTTATTCCTAAAAACCGTTTGTGAATTTCGCAATTTTTAGTTTTAAGTTTGTCGCAAGGCAAAATGTACTTTGCAAGGTGTTCCATGACAATACCATGTATTTCGAAAAACACGACATACAAAGTCTTTAATTCGTTACCAGCGACAAAACTTTGTGTTGTTCCTAATAAACCAAATATAATAGGCTCAATAACTCTCAAAGTGTCATCAACCACAATATATCCTCTAAGAGATGGAACTACATTTGAAACCAACTCAAGACAATGGGTGTACTCTACCAAACCAACTGGCACAACATTTTTCTTGTCGTAAGTTTTAAAAGTGGCATTGACAACAACAAGTGAATTGGTTAGATTATCAAGTATTGTGTCGTTTACATTTTCGTTTCTTTTTATCGCAACAATTTTCTCTGCAAATTTTGTAAAAAAGTTTTCAAATTTTGGCGATGTGACAAAAACATTGCATATCTGTTGACTTTCAAAAAGAGATAACACCACGTCATTAATGTACACATCGTTGTTATGGTTTTGATCAAAAGTGACTTGTTCTAACTGATCAAAAACCATTTCAGGACGAATTTGGACAAGTCCGTGGTGTGTTTGGAATGTCGTAAAAAATAGTTGTAAAGGAGTACATTTTACTTTTTTTAATGCGACAAATATAACCTCTCCATTTGTTAAATTTTTATAAACATTATTGTCTATCAAACAGGACAAATTTGTGTTTTCGTTCATCGCTCTTCCGAATAACAAAAACAATAAGTATGTCTCACATAGTCTGAGACACACATCTAAAAGTACAGACAGTCCATCATCGCCAAAGTCGTCTGAGCTTTCACTTAGATTTTGTGTGTTTTCTTCCAATAAAAACAAGGAAATTTGGTTGAGAAATTCCGAAATTTTATGTGGGAGTTCTTTGTACTCTTCAGTTAAAAGCTTTAATGGATCACCAACATATTTGTTGCCATGTCTTTTACAAAACCCCTTTTTATCCCACGTCTTTTCGTTTCCACAATCGCAACTAAATGAATCGAAAGTCTCAATTTTTTGCACGTCATGGCCTTTGTGATTTCCATTTTTAAAACACTCTTCACACATTCCAGCATTCGCAACTTTTTCACATGTGTGGCACACATAAACAGTGACAGGGACTGACCCTTTTGTTTTGACTGGACACATAAAGGGTTCGACGACTTTCGACAACTCTTTTTCCACTTCATTTAATGGTTTACCAAAAAGGGTGTCAACTACTATATTATCTTCTATTGTAATATCTAAACAACTTTCGTAAAGAAGTGAAGATATTATTTCCCCAAATACGGACATACTTTATTAGTTCTTTTATTCTATTATTATTAAAACTCTTACATCTTAAATGAATAAAACAATTATAATTATAAAACTATAATTTATTAATTCTTTTATCATATAATTCCAAACTTCGTCTTAGAATAGTTAATTAATTGATATTTCTTATTTCTGCCCAAAAGTGCATTATTTATCACAAAGAGCGTTAAGATAAGGACTATTTGGCGAAATACAACCCTTAAAAAGTGAATTGAAAATGAGGCCAACAAAGAATATAACGCGACAAAAAAATCGATCAGTTCTTGAGGATGTGGGTGTGGCACTTTCCGCATGTCAATCTGTCGGCGTGTTGGGCCAAGAAGCAAGCATGACCACACTTCTTGTTGGTGCAGGCCTTTCTGAGTCTCTCGACCTTTCCTTCAGCAGTGACGGAGTAGAGCTTGAGGCAAGCCAATTTGACTTTCTTGTTGACGTGCTTCTTGTGTTTTGGTTTTGAGGCGTCCTTCTTCTTTGACTTCTTGTTCTTACCTCCTTCAAGACCACCCATTTCAAAGAGTGAGGCGCTGCAGACGACATCGTTCTCAGCAAGGATTTTGCTTCCGTTGAAAAGCTTTCCACAGCCCAATCTGGTCATGACCATACCGGCGGTCTCGTTGGCGGAGAGGGTGATAAGTTCATTATTTCCTGAAAGTCTCTTGATAACGGCTTGCATCGGTCGACTCAAAATCTTTAGTTCGTATCATTTTAGGGTTTGTTTTGGCATTTCACATGTATTGTTATTTAATTCTATATTTTAGTTGTTTTATTATATTTTTTATTTTAAAAAGTTAATAAATTGCATAATAATTTTAACAATAAGTGTATTAGATTTTTATTAAAAATATTATTGTTTTATTATCATTAAAAATTATTTCTTATTATTGAAAAAAAAACTAAAAAAATATATTTTTTTAATATTATTTGTTTAAAACAAATGGTATTTCATATTAAAATATTAATTATAAAACATATCATTATTATTTTTATATTAATGATATTGTTAATATATTATAAATTAAATAATATTATTTACTTTATATAACAATACAATTAAAATATAATATTATACAATATAATTTGAAAATTAATGTTTGTAACATTTTTACTAACAATAACGTAACTATATGACGACAAAAATACACAGTAAACAATGCATTTAAAAATCGTTTAACGTCATTGAAATTATCTTATTATTAATAGAAACATTAAAACAAACAAATAGTTATGTTGGTCATTAATCTCTTAGATAAAATTGTATCATTTAATTATTTTAAAAACATGAATTGTTGAATATAAAATTTGTTTAATTATTATTAACCTTTTTTTTACTGTTTTTTTAATATACTATATTACTATATATAAAAGAATTAATTTAATAAGAAACTTTTATTAATGCCATTTGGTTGATACAAAAAGATATTTTGACAAAATTATTGATTGGTTTTTTTTATATGGTCAACTCCATATTTTTATTTCATGTTTCTTTGTTTAATTATTAAATGTGGTTAATTGTAGTTATAATTTTAATATTATCTAATACCAAAACAAAAATTGGTAATAGCAATTAATATTAAAATAATAAAGACATGTACTTTCCAAAACAATTATTATAATACGACTTTTACTGTGTTTTAAAAGTAAAGTTAATTTTATTATTTATTTTATATATTTTTTTCCAAATAACAACTGTTAAGTTTGTGAATAACAGAAAGTTTGAGTTTTGGTGATATGAAATGGAAATTGAATTCTATTTTTTATATTCATTGGTTTTCGAAAAGTTTGAGATTTTATTGAAATAAACAATTGATATTTTATTATTTTATTATAATTTCATTAAAATAATTAATTTAATACATATATTTGTTATAGTTTTTTATTATGTTTTTATTAACAAAAATTCACCTTTAAAAATATAGTTTTATTATAATTTTGTTATAGTAATATTATGTTTTTTTTGTTTTAAAAAAAAAAGTTTTAAACCCAAAACTTTTAAGAAAATAATCAACCCCTAATCTATATATTAACAGTAATACAACCATTTGCTAATAATAATTATTATACCCAAAAACAGCCTCAAAATTTGTTGAAAAAGACCGACAAAACATATACGACATTTACTCCTTTGATTTATTTATTATTAAATATAGTAAAAAATATTATTAATATAGTACAACAATCAGTAAAATAAAAGTGGAGAGTTGTTTGTTATTGAATTTGTGTTCGATGAGTTTTTGTCGACAAAAATACGAACAAAAACAGGTCGATCGAAGGTATAAAAACTTTGAACCCATTTTTATTAGCAAAGGAATGAACCGCATATACCCACTTAACACAACACCATTCGGGGTCTCTTTACACGAAAAACACATCCTCGAATGCTTTACTGGTACAGAAGAAGTATATTCAACTTTTACATTTAAGTTATTCCAAAAGGGCATATTTTACAGACAGTTCACTATGAGCGAAGAAAACACAACAATCTATTCAACTTCATGTATGACTCAACACTCAAACTGTTTCACTCTTTTCGATAATAAGAAGAACCCCGTCGCATCTATATTGTTTGTTAAGTCATCATATATATAATTAAAACAATTACAATAATATTATATATCAATTAATAATATTCAATTGATATTAATTTTAAATAATAATATTAATAAATAGGAAGGTTGATAATCTCTATAAGGTGTTTTCAGAGAGAAATGTTTTGACTGAAGTTACTGTCAAAGGTGGTGTAGTCTTGAGTACAAAATTGTTTGTCTCGAACAATAAAAGTGGGTTATGTTATGTTAATAAAGCCCCACTCTGCATTGGTTTGTTATTATGATGACATTATAATCATCCTTAATAGTATATAATACTCACAAATAGACAATAAAGAGTACTTAGACTTCTCTGTCCCGACTCTCCCTTCTTTTAAAAACATTCAACTCGTTTCCCCAAGAAAATGTTTGTTTCTTTCAAATAAAATGTGAATATCTGTTTAACAAATAGACTCTGAAGTTGTGTTTGAAATGGCAAAACAAAAGTCGTTTTATCATGTTAGTGCAGATGCCGTATTTACACCTTTACAAGCATTTGCCATTGCCGTTATAAAGGGATATGAGACATACCTCTCACAATCTGTCTGTCTGTAATATATTATTTATTATTTATTATTTATTATTTATTATTTATTATTTATTATTTATTATTTATTATTATAATGTTAATAACAAATTCTTTTTAATTAATTTAATTATAATAAACTATAAAAAAGTTAAAACAAAACTTCATTAATAATCCTCATCTTCATAATCGTCGTCTGAAGAAGATGATGAGCTTTCATCGACGTCCTCTTCTTTGTGTACTTGTTCCTTTTCTTTTTCGTCGGGAATAGATTGCTCATCTGATTCTTCTGATTCTTGCTGGTCGACTCTTTTGAATTCTTTTTGAGCGATTGGCTTGAAAACGCTTTCCAAAGAAATCTTCTGGAAGTTAGATGGGAATTTGTTGATTGCTTCGAAGACTGCATCGATGTCAGGACGATCTTCTTCCTTTTGGCTCCAACACGAAGTCAAGAGTTTCCAGTAATAGTCTGGGACCAAGTCTGGTTTGTCGAGTCGATTGCCTTCAGAGATGAATTGAGGGATATTCCATGGTTGTGTGAATCTGGGGTCATTGTCATACGCTCCATGTTCTACAAAAGTCTCATACATCACTACACCAAAAGCAAAGACGTCCATTGGCAAGCCATATGACAATCTTTGTAAGCACTCTGGTGGCATATAATTTGGCGTTCCTATTCCTCGAGTCAATTCGTGTTCTTTCAAACTCTTTTCTGTGATGTCTCGAGTTGTCCCAAAATCGGACAGTTTAGCACAAACAGAGGCCCGGGGTTCTATTGAGAAGATCAAAACATTATCTCCTTTAATATCTCTGTGAATGATATGGTTGTTATGTAAGATATGGATTGCAGCAGCTAAGTCATCTAAAATCTTTTCTTTTAATACAAGTGGAAACCCTTGTTTCTCATGGAATTTACTTAAAGTCCCAAATTCGGCAAATGAAGTGACTATAGCCAAATGCTCTTCTGTATACACCGCACCAACAAGACGAATAATCACATCATATCGCAATGAGTGTAAACGCGCCACCTCACGATCAAAAGCTTCTTTTTGTTCTTGTGTAAATTTCTTCTCTTTCATTTGCTTGACAGCAACATCTTCTCCTCGGTACTTCCCTCTGAATACCATTGAAAACGCACCTTCACCAATCGGCGCGGCATTCGACTTTAATTCTTCATAGTCGATGTAGATGGACACGTCGGTGTCTAATTTCATACCAAATTTGGCTGCTTGACCATTTTCCTCTTGATCCATTCCCATTGCCACAATCGCAACATCTTGTTGAATAAAAGCAGTGCAAAGGGGCTTGATAGTGAATGTGACATCAATTGCATAACTTGGTTTTAAAGTCTGTCTTTTAGGGTTGATATCGAGTTCGAACGTGTGGTGTGGTGTTGCCGTGATTTCATAGAAGTACGCCGTTTTGGACAAATTCACCAGTTTGACGACTTGTTTGTACGTCTCGCCAACTTTGAGTTTGTCGCCTTTATGTCCGAAGTCCAAGTCCCATGTGGAGGCTTGTAACCTGAAATTGGCATTGTCAGCCTTTGCAAGACTCATTTCAATATCAGAAGAAACTTTCGTGGGTCGGATGGTCTTTTTCTCCTCCTTTTCCCCACTCCTCAAACGTAACCAAATTAACACGATGATAGCTATAATAATCGCAATAATCACTACTAAACCTACTACAGAAAGGGGGATGATCAACGCCAAATTAATTTTAGTACACTCCTTTCTATTTGGAGAAGGTGTATACCCATCACTACATGAATAACATCCATCAGACTGACATTCAGTGCATTTGTCTATTTTATCACAGGAAATGCACCTGTTCAAACTTTCATCTAAGTATGTGTTATTATTACATCCTGTACAAGCTATTGAAGGGACTGTACCATTCATTTCTCCAGTCTCTTTACAGTTGAAGCATCTATCTAATGGACACGATCGACAATAATTGTTATGTAAGTAGTACCCTTCTTTACATTGAGTACACCCCATATTGGTAGAATTGTGCGCACAACTACTTAACCCGTAGTCGGCAGATGTATCTGCAATCTTCATACAATATCCTTTTTCCTCACCCTCTTTCTCTGTTAATTCGCTTGGTCGCCAATATATGTTTTTACCATCAGAATCTTTGGCTGCAGAACATGTAACACAATAAGTACTTGTTGTGCACGAACCACATGAGACATCACAGTTTATACATGAGACATCACTTAAGAAATACCCATCTACACACTCGACACAATATCCCATCTCTATTGTTTAGTATTGAATTGTATTATTTATAAAAATGAATAGCAAACCAGTCCTCTTACAGGAAGCAGGCTTCACTTCACAGTAATACACACTCCCAATCTGTCCAGTGATTTTTCGATAAGCCTCTTTTTGATCGATTCGTTCAACTAAGGCATACCCATCATTACAAGCAGTACACCAATCTTTGTTGTACGAACAAATTCGACAATTTGAATTACACTGTTGGCACTTTTGTGTGTACTTAACTACAGTCCCATCGGCTTGAATAGTAGCTTCTAAATAATAGCCATATCTCTGTTGTATACAATCTTTAATCCCATCACGTGCACATTGCTCATTATTAACTTGATTGTACTTACACTCCAAGCACCCATATTGATCTGTTTCAACGCAATTGTCTTCCTTTAAAAGACACTTCCCAGACACCGTATTATCAAAGTAATAATTCTTGGCACACCGGAAACAATAGTCTTTTGACATACAAGTTGAACAAGTTTCCCCACATTGTGTACATATAGAGCCTTCGCCTATGTAATACCCTTCGTCACACGCAGTGCATCCATTTACATTATCTGAACGGAAACAATGTGGGATGGAGTCGACGCATGTTCCTTGTGCCAATTTCTTTGAATTGATACACGTGGTGCACGTATCGACATCTATACACTCTGCACAATCAGTCCCACATTTTGCACACTTCCCATCACTGAGATAATATGACGGGTTGCACCGTTCACAATGATCGCCATATGTAAACCCTTCAGCACAGTTTTCTATTTTCACACAAGGAGACTCGGAGTTGGTCGGGTCTTTAAGTGCATAGCCAGTAGAACAGGAAAGACAGTTCGTGGCTGTCGAACACATCGAACAGAAGTCTTTGCAGGACATACATGTGAACGACTTCACATCAAAGTACTTGTCTGAAGGGCAACGACCACACTCCGCGTCATTCTCTGGTAATGAACAGTCTATACAAGCCTTCCCATTTTTAACTAATGTGTACCCAGACGCACATTGGAAGCACTCTTGTGAATTACAGTAGTTACAATTGTCACCGCATGTCTTACAGTCTGGAAGAGCCAAATAATAGTGAATATCACACTGTGTACAAAACAGCCCACTGTATGATATACACTTATCTACTTTCGGTCGAGTTACACATTGATAAGTTTCAGTCATTACATAAGGGTTCTCTGAGTCGGCACTTTCAATACAAGAATTACACATAACCGCCGAAGTGCATGTCGCACAATTGTTAATACAAGGAGTACATGTGCCTGTTTCTTGGTCAAGGTATTGCCCAACCTCACAATACAATGCAGATACTATCGTGATGAAAATGATGAACATCTACTTTTGAATGTTTTAAGTTTTAATTGTTTTATGAACAGAATTTTTAAATAAAGTAATGTGTTTTGGATTGAAACTACTCAACCAATATCTTAACTGTTCCAAACTTGCAGTTTTTTAATATTTTTCAAGGAGTTCCCCAAAACAAAAAAAACTTGGTCTTAATAAGACCAGAATTTTTGGATTTTTTTTAATGCAATTTTGGGATGGGTTGATTAACTTAGTTGGAAGTTTTTATTCATATCAAAGGAAAAAGAGTTGGTTTTTAATTGTTTCATTTTTGGGTCTTATTTTATTTGTTTTATATATATATATTTTGTTTCAATATATTAATTATTATCATCTAGTAAATCTAATATTATCAAAATTATTGTTTCAAATGTGTTGTGAGAATTTATCTCGTAATTATAAATTAAAATCCTGATAAATTAGACATTGTACTTTTGTTATATTATTGTTAATAAATTATTAATTAATTTTAAAGCTGACTCGACTCACGTAATAATAAAATTAATTGATATATTTACACACTGTGTTATTGCCAAAATTTACTCAACCGTTTAGTTTTAGTGTTACAACACCAGTGAAATTGTATTACACTCATGGTTTTTGCATTTTATTATATTTGGGGTAATAAACCACTTAAAAATAAATATAAATAATATTTTTTGCTAAAGAAACCCTAAAAATAGTCCGGCACATAAAAAGACAGGCAAACCAATAATTTATAGTATATTATAGTTTTTTGTTTTTTGTCCTGTTTTTTCAAATTTTGGGTTGAAAAAACTATTAAATAGTTTTTTTTCTTAAACAATTTTTATAGTTTGCTATAATAAAAACAACCAGTTGTTTTTTTTTGTGTTGGTTGGTTTTTCAGGTATACAGTTGGAGTAATAACCTGTCAACCAGAACTAACCTGTCAGCCATTTTTTAAATTCAATTTATGGTATTTTAACCATTAATTTGTCTTTTTTAGATTATTCAAGTTCAACAAAATCAATAACAAAAAGCAATGAACAAATGCGATGTTTTCTTCGAATTTCAAAAACGAAAAAAAAGCCGAAAAAAACTTCAAAAATTTCCAAAATTTGTCCTCATTTCACCAAAAAGAGTCATCGTTTTATAAAACATTTTCTTTATTACTTGGTTATATTTTCTTGATTTTTTTTAGAAAATGTCTTCTTATATTGAATCAATTTCAAAGTCTTTACCAAAAAGTTAAAGTGGAAGCTATTCAAATCCCCCAAAACCCCAATTTTTGCACAAAACAATCCATTATTTTCATTTAAACAATTTTCTTTTAGGTTTTAAATCGTTCATAACTTTAAACATCCTTTTCATGTTGCCAAGTTTTTCATCACTGAATCTGATATCCTGCTTCCCTAATCCTCAAAATCTCCTCACTTCTCAAGACTCTGAGTGATCGCTCAACCATTGGAACAGTGGTGGCTTCATTTGAGAGAAGTGGGATTGTCGTCAGAGAGGTAGATGGTATCAAACGAATAAGAATTGACCCGAATCGAGCTGCGCGGTTTGTAAAAGAATATACTTCCATCGCGACAAGAACGGACATTCTGGAAATGTCGGAAATTCCGAATGAACCCGTTCTCATTGGGACTGTCGATGAAAAGGTTGTTGAAGTTCTCAACCTTTTGTCGACTCTGGTTGCGACGATCACAAAAGGTGTCGAAGCAATAGAGAACATTTGTTGTTCCGAAGAAATGAGACAGAGTGTAATCCTGATACAGAACGAGATCCAGAAACTGACAGAGTTTAAAGAAAGATACAACCCAAGTGAGAAGTCTTTGGAACCAGTTAAGTTTTATCTGGATCAAGACAAAAGGAGATACTTTGTTTCCAGCAAGCATGGTGACGATATCACGTTTTCAAGGAGGTGGTTCGAAAGGATGGATGGTGTTAATGTAACAGTGGTTCAACCCGATTGCCCCATAACCCCAATTCAAAACATCCCAGGAAGTTCCCAACAAAACGAGCAAAGAGGAAGAAGAACAAGTCGTAGAGGAAGAGCTCCAAGCAATAACAGAAGAATGGACACCAACAGCATTTCCAACGCCGGTCAAGAGACTTCCATCCATAATACTCAACAAGTAGAATTGCGACCGCCCCGGTTGGATTCTTTTCAACCTGACGGTTCTGGAACCCCCAGTTTCCAAC